ACCACTCACAAGGAAATCCGTGAACAATTACAGTTTAAGTTTACAGATTTTTTTTTTCTGTTTGTCAAGAATTATGAACACACGTGCAGATCCTACAGGGAGGTAGAAGTGTATTTCTCAATAAATTAAAGACACAGTGTTGCCCTCCCTCTTTTCGACTGGCCACTTTCTCCTCTGCATTCCAACCATTTGTGCACAGCTATGGAAAGCAGCAGTGGTTTTCATTACTTCCAGCCCATGTGCTTTCTTCCAGAATTACTGCACTGGATGGTTCCTATGCCATTAGTTTGGAACTGACACTTCTTAACACAGCCAAGGCAGTTTGCTCTTTTAGAGCACATCTGTTGTTATGTGACCCAAAACTTATTTTTCTTAGGGAAAAAAAATAAAATATAGACACTATAGGAAAAAGGAATATCCATATGGAGAGGCCATATTCTTATTTATTCCACCCAAAATCCTCACCTAAAGGATCTATCATCTCATCAAATGCAGGTCAAATGCAGTCTGGTAAATGATATAAAGAAAATATGAATAGAGACAATTTGCTTCTCAGTGATTCATCTATAAGCTGTACACCAAGAGAAAGAAACAAATCAATTTCATAAATTATAACAATATCTAAATTGTAGATATAGTAATATTTTTTCTCCTGTTTTGATAATCATACCATGTAATGATGGAAAACATACTCCAGAGGGGAAAAAAAAAACCTTATAACCATGCAGCCCAATCCAATACTGCCACCTTGTGAAAAAAAAAAAAATCTATTACTTCTTCTGTCGATTACATAGAACCACACAACCTTAAAATAGTTTGGGTTGGAAGGGATGAGACCCTCTACTTCCAACACCCCTGCATGGACAGGATCACCTGTCACTAGACCAGGTTGCTCAAAGCTGCTTCCAGCCTGAATTTGAACACTTCCAGGGATGGGACATTTTTATTCTGCTATCATTTAAAACAAAAGAAAAATTCTATTTTTACTCAGAAAAAAACACTGAAAAAACCACTTTATTTGTTTCTGTCAAATAAAAGCCACAAGCCAAACGTCAAAAGCATGAGACACAGAGCCTGATGGGAAGGGGGAGAGGGAAGGCAAGGATTGTTTTTTTTAATTAAGAACATCTAAAAAAAAAAATTAAGCTGTTAAATAAGAAAAAGAAAACAGATTTCTTGCCAAGAAAATTCCACTGAAGATATATAAATAGCACTTTTGTATTTGTTTTTTATCTCTTATTTTAATTTTTTTTTGTTTTCGGTTTTGAATCACAGCTGAAAGTATAATCATATATTCAGTTCATTATGAAAAAAATATAAGTACTCTTATAAATCACACTGAAACTCCATTTCTCCAGATAATATTTTAGAAATTTTAAGAGTATTTTCAGATACATTGAACAAAAAATTAACAGCAGCAGTAGAAGCATCAAGATGGTGTATAGTCTCCATTGCCTCTGTTACACAATCATGTTTGTTCTGTGTACAAAACTGTACAAATACATGTTTGTTCTGTTTTGCTTTTGGTTTGGGTCTTTTTTATTTTAATCTGCTAAAGACATTTGGAAGCAGCATGTATTTTGGAAAATTTATATGGTAAGATTTATGTAGCCTGGCATACACTTGCTCTTCTATTCTAAGTGCACTTACTAAATAGTAAGGATAGCAGCTGAAACGAAGAGATGACAAATGTGAAGCTTCTGTAGTCAAAATTTGTCCTGCATTAACAACTTATTGTACATAGAAAACACATTACATATGTATCAAATTTCATTTTTTAGATGAAAATATTCAGCAAACACAAGCTTAGCCTGCCCTGTCTAGGTCCTCAGTGCCTGGATTATAAAACTTCTTCTGCTGCATTTCAGCACAAAGAAAGCTGTACTAAGTTTCTCAAACTAGCTCTGCAGTGGAGTGGAGTCAGTAATGGGGTCAACAATGCACCTTGTAAAACTACAGACTGTATGAGACAACAGGCTTTGCAATTTTCCTGGAGAAGCTTCACAACTTTTAACAGTCATTGAACTTTTTCTTGTTTTTCAACAGTAGAATCTATAAAAAAAAAAAGTGATGCAATTTTTTTAGGAAAAAATTCCTGAGCAGTTACATATTCAACCTGAAAACTGGAATCTGCAATAGTTCTCTTGTATTACCCATGGGGTTTCAAAGTTTTATTCTGAGAAATTTTAATAACAATTCAGTTCATCTTAAAATATTTACCTAAAAATTAAAAATATTATCCCTATAAATTAACTTACATTTCATACTGCATTGTTTCTACATAAGAAAATCCCTACCAGCATTGAATATTTCCATCCTACTTTATGAGAATGGTCAAGCAGTGATATATTTCTTCCTGAAGTCCAGCATAACCACATCCTTAGAATAGAGAAGTTTCCTTATGTTGCTCAGCCCTGACTTTCTCAAGACAGGCAACAGGTTTCAGCTCATTTTGATTCACTTCCTGTCATTCCATGCCATGCAACTGTTTTCCCTTCATTTGCAAATTCATGAAATGAAGAATTTTAGTTACAGCACAGCTCTGTTCACTCTACAGTTTTTGAATCGGTGCCAACATCTGATGGGGATCTCAGCAGCAACAACAAGCTACACTTAGGGTTTGTGTGAGGGTTCAGAGAGCTGCAGAACCTACAGCTTCAGGGACACTGGCAATCCAAAAGGATTTGCAAGGGCATCAGGGCATGGTGCCACAACTGAAAAATCCACACCTTTTAACCTGTGTAATCTATGGTGATGAGGATCTCTGCACAGTCCTAAATGTCTTTAGGATCCGAGTTAGGGTTAGTGTTGAGTGAGTCAAAGATCCTACAGCTCCAGGAACACCTGAGCTGTAAAGGCATGGCAAGGCAATCCCAGCATGGCCCCAACATTGCTGCTCCTACTTCTTTCTAAAATCAAGCACCCGTGGGGATTGGGACTTAAGGATTACTCTGAGGGTTAGGGCAATGTTTGGGGTTGGGGTTAGGGTTCAGTGAGTAAGAGAGCCTACAGCTCCAGGAACAGTATGGCTGTAACATGAATGGCAGTAGGGCATCAATACTGCTGCTCCTGCTTCTTTCTAAACTCCACCACCCACATGGATGGGGTTTTATTGTTAGGGTTAGTGTTGGGGTTAAGTTTAGGGTTTGGGTTAGGGTTAGGGCAAGGGTAAGAGTTAGTGTTAAGTTTAGCCTTAGGGTTGAGTGAGTAGTGATTTGACAAGTCTTCATTTCATTTGATAAAATTAAATCTTTCTATGATTCCTATGAAGCGTCTCTTTTATTTGCAAATTTTTTTGGTAAGACAGGACATGGTTTTTATTCAGTATGCGAACTGCATAACTGCACTACAAAAGAAGCATTAAGTGCACATTCAACCAGTGAATAAAGAGTTGATCACACTGAAAAGTTCACCAGTGATATGATTATATTAAAGGGTGGATTTCAAATGGAAGCATTTCAATTTTTTAATATTTCATTATCATGCTTATTCATAACACTGGTGAGAAAATGGTAATCAGTTGCCCTTGAAGCAAATATTTTTTGTTTAACACTCCTAAAGTGTTCAGAGAGGTACTCAGCTTATTCTAAGGACAGCAGATGGGAAAACCCCTACCACTTTTGGCAGATCTGTCCCGTTGCCCCCAAAATGCACATCTTCTATGCAAAACTTAAATTTATCTTTTAGCTCTTAATTTTTGTTATACCTATTTTTGCATCTTGGTATTCCTTATCAGACTCAGGGTTAGATGTGCTCCCTATAAACACACAAAAATGTTATTATCTGCACCATGCCTGATCTGTGTAATTTTTCTTAGACTGAATTCTATTTAGTCTCTAAATGTCTAAGTGGACATTTTCTCCAGCTTTTAATAACCAGTGAGGGACTTTTAAATTACTTTTAAAGTAATTTAAAGTCCCAGCGAGGAACCTTTCATCACAGACAGTTGTAGGACAAGGGAGCAGGTTTTAAGCTAGAAGAGGGCAGACTTTGGTTAGATGCTGCAAAGAAATTCTTTACACCACAAAGGGTGGTGAGGTTTGAAGAGAGGTTGCCCAGGGAAGCTGTGGGTGCCCCATCCCTGTGTTCAAGGCCAGGCTGGATGGGGCACTGAGCAACCTGCTCTGGTGGAAGGTGTCCCTGCCCATGGCAGGTCGTTTGGAAGAGATGATGTTGAGGGTTCCTTCCAACCCAAACCATTCTATGACACTGTGAATTTGTGTTTGTATTTACCTTCCTCTCACTTGTTTGGGTTTTTTTTTTTTAACTTCTAGTATTTGCTCCCTACCTGCAGCACGGGCAGGGCCATGCTGAGCCACTGGCCCCCTGCACCCGTGCCAGGCTGGCCATGCCACAGCGCAGTGCCCACCACGGCCGCAGTGCCAGCCAGCCCTTCTGAGCATCACCCAGCCCCAGCATGGGAAGACAGAAGGCATATCTGGTGTGTTTTCATAAACCACCTTTACTGTGGCTTTAGTATGCGTTTGTTTATATTTTTTTCCTGCTTAATTGCTCCTTGCAATTATTGTGAACACTAAATTCCAGTCTGTGACTTCAAAGAAAACCCCAAACACAAACATTTATATTTTTTTTCTGCTTAATTGCTCCTTGCAATTTATTGTGAACACTAAATTGTGAACACTAATTGTGAACACTAAATTCCAGTCTTCCTCCAGTGACTTCAAAGAAAACCCCAAACACAAACCAAAAGCAAAACGAAAAAACGAACCCAAAACCAAAATAAAAATACCCTCAAACAACAACCCCAAAACAAACAAACAAAACTACAAAAAAACCCCAAACCCCAGTATTAAAGAAAAAAACCCAAACAAAATCACGGAAAAGGGCGCTGCGAGGTGCTCGGCCTCACGCTGGGGGGCGCTGCCCAACGCCCCAAGGAACGCGAAACGGCAGCTCCTGGCGAAGTCTGGCTCCTCTCGCTGCCCGTCCGAGCCGCTGTTTCCCGTTGCCGTGGTGACGCTCCCGCGGTAGCGGCGCGGTGCGGGTCCCTCGTCCTCCCTCGGAGCTCCCCACCGTCCGCGGTGGGCGGGTGCGGAATTTCAGGGCGGAGGGGCGGCCGGTCTCCAGAGGCGTCCAGAAAGGCGGAGGCTCCGTGAGGTGCTCGACTGAACGACAGGTGAATGGGTACATGAAGTGGACGGGGGGGACCGGAGGACTGCGGGCGCTCTGAGCGCTGGACTACAACTCCCAGCATGCAAAGGGGCGGAGCCTCTCGCCTGTCAGGAAGCGGCCGTGGGCGGTGCTGCCCGTGGGCGCGGTGCCTTTCGGGAGATGTAGTTTCAGCCTGGATCCGCTTCTCGCTATTCCGGCAGGAATGTGCTCCGTGTGCCCGGTCTCCCGCTGCAAGAGCCGAACTCGCTGCCTCCCATTCCGCTAATGCAGGGGACAAGGGGTTTCGAAAGTGGGGAGGGAGGCTGTTTCCCCCTTGTATCCATCCACAAGTTGTTACCTCTCTAGGTTACATCATTTCTCACTGCTTTCTCTGTATCATTAAAACTTTTTATATTCTTATTTTGAGCACTCTTTTTATTTTGATTCATTGCTGTGTTGAAAGGTATTACTTTTTTTTGTGTAGCTTTCAAAACAGATAAGATCCTGTGGGAAGTAGAATGTCGGAAGATATTGAAGGAATTGAAAAAGAAGTAGAAATTGAATTAGGCAGAATCAGTGTTTCTTCGTTTGGAACAGATGAGGCTGACACAGAGGTATCAGAGGAGCCCTTGAGTGACAGTGAGTCTGTAAGTATTCAGTGAGGTAAATAAAAGTGTATTCAGTGAGCTAAAACTGCTTCTGGCATTGGAAATCCCGTTTGATGCGTGAACATTTCCCCGACACGCCTAAGCTGAGGCTTTGATCTGAACAGTAGTCTTGGTAGTATTGCTTCATGAAAAATGTAATAATAAGAGAGATGGATATCAGCATCCTGCTTGAGAAGATCAGACCTGGACATTTTGTTTTAGAATCCTCTGAAGCTGGAAGATTTGATGAGGTAGATTAAATATGGACGAATAAACTCATGATTCTTCACTGAAATCTGTATTTTAATCTTACAATAGCCTGGTTTAGGAGATTCCTTCTAAGATTTCCAGATACTAATTTTGTATAAAAATAGGTTCTTCAAGTCCTCTTTCTTAGATGATTTCTTATTTTTGAAAGTGGCTTTCCTAAGAAATAAAATCAATTATTTGGGTCCTTTTCTGCCATTTTAATCTTTCAGATTCATAGCATAGGGATTCGTTTGTAGGATTTTAGGGTTGATAATATTGATCATAAATCATGGTTCATATGGCATGGACAAAGGCAGTGATAAGTGGGTAAGCACTCACATGCTGAGCAATGTCAGCAATGTCCGCCACAATTTGCACATCTGAGAGAAGGCGGACCATTTTCCCAAAATCTTGACATTAAAGGCAGTCTTTTGAATAGAAAGTTTCTATGTAATAAAGAAAACTGAAGCATTGTTTCTACATGCATACTTTAAACATTAGTAAATTTAAAGTTTATTTATCCTGAAAAGAAAAAGATCCTGTACCTCACAAGTATTTGCTAATTGTTATCTTATCCTTTTTCTTTAATTTCTTGGTCCAACACAGTTATAAAAGCAGTAATTTAATGAAATGTGTTTCTGGAGAGAGTGCAAGATACTAAAATTTTATTAGAATGTAATTAAAATTGGAATTATTAATTGTTCAGTGGGTGGTAAGAAAATGAGAAGAGTATAGGAATTTGGAAAAATTTTGGTGGAAATTGCTGCTAAATCTCCATCGATGCTTTATAGGTGAATCCAAAACAAGTCTTTATTGTGTTATTTCAAGTATTTACCTATTTTGGTAAATACTAAAGCTGGTGAGACGAAAATGTAGAATATATGTCAAAGGTTGTGTTTTTCTAGATTTCAGGTGACTTGCCAGAATCAGTTCTCGCCTATTTAAACTTTATCAAGAGCAGCAATCAAGATGCTGAAAAGCTTATACTGCAGGACTTAGAAGATGAGCAAAGTAGAAGTAAGCATTAATCACAGTTAAAATGTCTGTACACCTCATATTGCGAGTGGACATTAGACTAACAACATCAATAAAATAATGCAAACTTTTAAGCAGAACAAGCAGTGAAACCTGTTCCATCAGCTTACGAATGAATGATGAAAATCTCTAGGAATAAAGCCATGCAATGCTATCTTCTTGAATTAACATCTGAGCAGAAATTAAACTTTTTAAAAAACTCATCTAATGCTAAAGAAGGCAAGTTGCAAGGTTAATCTCTGAGACAGAGCCCAGGCCAGACTCTTCATGGAAGTCTAAAATGAAGTCAGTAGGAGCTGAAATTCAGGGTTCAGGTACAACTGACTCCCACAGGATAAGTTTGAAGTCTACCTTGAGAGATGCCCAAGCTCTCATTGGATGAAATGACCATTAATTGGCAAGACAAATATTGCTGTCAGCTGTGTGACTGAAGCCAATCACAGTTTATGTGCCACTCCCTGTTCTATTAGTGTAATAGGCTTGGTGACTGGAAGTTCAGCATTGACTACAAATTTTGGTATCTGAGGAACATCCCTATATATTCTTTTTTTGTAATGCAAGTTACTCTTTTTCATTGTTTTGATACTTCTTTTCCAATTTTTGACCTATTTAGTACAAGTTCTACTGTATTTTTCTGCACAGAAAATGTTCTGCTGTGTTTCATTATGTGGAATTCTCTTTCATATTTGCTATCACTGTATTCTTACAGTATCATTGTGTCTGTTTCTGTTACACACATTTCCTTTTAATGGATATAAATGATTCCCATACATATTTAAGTAAAACTAGAGGAGAAGGAAAGGAAAAAAACCCCCTCTTTTATTTTAGTTTAAACAAATTGAGTCAATGAGTGTAGACCAAAACTGAGCACTCGTAAGGGATTTTCTCACTGTGAACTAAATGTTTTTTTTATTTTTTTCTTTAGATGACATCTATGAAGTAGTTTCTTGCCATCCTTCTGAATCGAATGAAGATTCAAAACAATTTAATGAAAAGGTATCTTTTGTTTATACATTATTTTTAGGGAATAAATTTCTTTTAAATAATCTAGATAACTTACCCTTGCTTTAGTGGCCTCCTAAGGAGATCTATAAATGTGTTCATTTGTTTTTCTGTAAGACAATCCATAAGGTATTAAGATGAGTTTCTATACAATTCTTTAGAATTAGGACATCAACTGCAATACACCATGTCTATAAGCTTTCAAATTTGAAATAAATTATCTGAGATATTGAGCACAAAAATCAACAAAATCAAACAAAACTGAATAATCCTTTATTGATAGTTGTTTGGAGAGCATTATCTTAATATTATGATAACACTTTTAAGCTTCTCTAATCTTATTTTTTATGATGATCAGGAAGATGTATTACTATTAATTTTTCTCCTAATATATTCCATTACTTTATAGAAAATATAAACATAGTAATCTCTTTCAAAGACAATTCAAGAGTTTTTCTATATTTTCATAGGATTTGACTGAATAGTTCGCTGAAGTTTTCTTAGAAAAATATAAAACTGTATTTAATTTATTCACTTTTAATTTGCTGCCTGGCTTTTATTAGTGAGCACTCTTGCAAACATGATTTTTTGTTCTCAAAAGACCATTGTTTAAAGCAGCACAATTACTTCATGTGACTTCAGCTGCATTACAAATATTAATATAGGCCCAAAGCATGTGATGAACAGATGATAAATGAGCAGGAATAGCTTACTTGCCAGTAAAGAACAATGAAATAAATATAGCAATCCTTGTGCCCATAGTATTATTTTGAAATAGTCTTCTTAAAAATTTGTTCTGTAACTAGTTCTTCCCCAGTGTGCATAACAGTATTCATGCATAAGTGCTTGGTTTCACAGAAAGTAAAATAAATCTCAAATGCAAGACATTCATTTTCCCAAGTCAAAATATTAAATGTATTTTAAAAAACATGTAGAAATATTATGTATTTTGCTAATACTACAATACTTGTTACTCTAGAAAACAGTAACTGATATGTTAGCATTATTCAATGTGTAAGGATTCTAGTCAGCAGTAAGTTTCACATTGTTGTACTTGTCATATGATAAAAAGCTTATCCTTGCTCTGGAAGATTTTTATAATGTTCTGCTTTTCAATTTTGTTTCTTGTTTTTTAATAACAATTTTAAACTATGTTAGATACTAGTTGGAGTTGAAAATGAAGACTTGCAGCTTGCTGCAACACCTGATTATAGTCAGTCCATCAGTGACTGCACTGATGACCACTTTCTTACAGGTAAGCAAGTACATTATTCATTTGGTTGAGTTGATCTTTAACATATAACTATTTCCTGCTTTTCTGTTGTCATAAGTATCATAGCATTTTTTTAAAGAATTTCACATTGCAGTATACAACAGGGCTTGATGGATTTGACATAAACAAACAATTTTGCCTTTATCTCATTTCAAGATCACAAAATCATCATAGAAATTAGTGTCAAAAAATACCACTTAAAAATGAAAGCTGCTCAGAGGCACTAAGTAGGTTCTGCTTTGGCCACAGATTTTTGCTGGTGTTTTTGTTTTTGAAATTTGGTTTGGAGTTTTTTTTTTGTGGTCACATTGGCTGAGAATGTTCCTTTGCCATGGCCTTTGGATGAGTTGGGCTGGAGCATATCAGTGCTAAAGCACTAAAAGCCACAGAAGACATCCTTTGCAATCCTGAATTGTACATTTTTAGAATACGCATAGTAGTTGCAGATTAGTAAGTGTGCAGAATAATAATAAGACATCTCTGATGGAAAGGACTTGTGCTGTAGTTCTGATTTCCTATATGTATTATATTATACATGTAGGAAATCAGATATATATTGCTGGCTATATAATCATAGGCTCTTTTTCTTGTCAAATACCTTAAGACTGTTTAATGTTCCCCAGTGCTTATTAGGAAATTAAATAAAATGTTTTCTTGGTTGATTAATAGCTGATCTTGAAATGAGCATAAGTCTTGCCCATCGTGAAGTAGAAGAACAGTACAGACGAGCACTTGAGCTTGAAGATGAAAAGATGAAAAAGTGGAAAGCTGAGAGAGAATCACGGGAAAAACAAAATGAAGAGGAGCATGCAAGAAGATTCCAGCATCTGCAGCAGTTTGAGGCTGAAAGAATAAAATTAGATCTTCTTCATAAGGTAATGAATGATATTAATCCAATCTGTTCTGGTCTAGACTATCTGAATTCTATCTCTGGTGTGAAAAGGACATTACTATCTCAAACTTCATGACTGTCCTAAACCCTATTTACTTGTGTTGCCAGTGAGTTGTAAAACGTATTTAAGTGTAGTCCATTGGCTTTTATGTGTTTACTATTTTAATCAATAGTGAATAAATTTGTTATGCTAAATTTTAAATTCTTCCTTAAGCTTTGCCTTTAAAAAGTTTTTATATTATTAAATCAGCCAAAGTACTGGAAATGAGAGTTGTGCTGAAATTAATCACAAATGAAAAATGGTCACTGTGTCCTAATAGAAAACACTTAGCTAAGTTGGACCTCCCACCTCAATTTCACATTTCAATGTTAAAATCTTAATAGAAGTAATCAGAGCTAAAATTATTCAGTTCAGCAATGCTGGTGCTGTTCTTCACTGGTAAAAGTTACAATACTTGCTCTCCCTACCTTTATCTGGGAAACTTACTCAGGCTTCATCTACTGAGTTCTGCCACAACAGATGGTTACTCAACACATTGGCTGGTTGCACTCTCAGACTATCTAGTCGTATTTTGCTATAGGGGGTGGAGCATCATAAAGGATAAAAGAGTGTAAGAACATGAAAAAAAATCACTCTCAGATATTATACTTGTGAGGCAACAGAATTCTATTATTTAGCCTAAATAAGTGTGTTTTGAAAGGTGCATTAACACTACATTTTCAGTTAATTAATTTGTGGCTTTCTGAAGAGGCGGGTGCTTTGGCAGCAGCAAGGTAATTCAACTCACCAGTAGTAAAGAAGGGCTTAGTAAATGAAAAGACCTTTGATCTCTGAAGGCCAGTTCAATGTCTGCTATAGCTCTCTTTTCAAAAGGTCAGAAAAACTGATAAGTCTTCTTGACTCTTTGCTGTCACAAAACATTTTTGGATGTAGGATGGCTTTCTCTAGAGAAAGATGGACATGGCTACGTTTAGGCACTTTGACACTCCTGTTGCAGGAAGGCTCCTTTTGGAGGTGACAAATAGAATCCAACTTTCACTGTTGCAGAAGGATCTACATGCCTGTCTCCTGCTGTCTGAACAGCAAGTTTCTGGATGCATGTGAAAAACAGTGCTTAGACACATGGGAGACGTTATGCTCCAAGCTGAAAGTGGTTGTTTATACTACTTCCTTCATATCCTCCATATTTGATTTGGTTGATATATCTTGGTTCCACCAGGAGTTATGTGGTTCTGAATTAGCCTGGATTTTAGTTATTTGTGTAACTAACTTTCTGGCTGCTAACTTATAGTCTGATTGAGGCTTTTGCCTGATTGAGGTTATACTGAGCAAGGGGGAAAATGCTATTTACTTACAAATAGTGAGAAACTAGAGTTGAACTTTCATTTTCCATTTAGAAGCAATTTCAGTCAGAAATTTTTTCTTAGCTTTACTGAACCAAATTCCCATTTGATGGATTTTAATATTATCAATACATACCAGTGCAATTAAAGAGAGATTGTACATGCTATTGTTCAGACATGTTTCTGTTTTCTGCCTGTACTTTGAATGGTTTGGTAACTAGTTTTCATCTTAGATGGTAGTACAGATCTTGGAGAGGAAGGTGGCAGCTGTTTGGGTCAGTACCTAGATGCTGACTTTCTGAAGGTATGCATCTCTCAGTGCATGACCAAATCTACATTACTGATGCAAGTGTCCTGTTGTTTATTTTGATCCACACATGGCTCAGTTTCTCATTTAAATTCAGGCATTCACAAAATTAGGTTGTTGGAAAGTCAAGAAGATGGGTGAGATTGGAGAGAGGATGTTTTTTGTCATTCTGGGTTTTGTACAATATTAATTTAAGTTAATTTGTTGTGCAGAAACGCCAGGCTGTAATGGAAGATGAGTTACAGAAAGAGAAGGAAGCTTGGAGACACAAAATTAGGCAACATGAGGTAAGGTTGTACAGTGAACTTTTGCCAAAAGACTGTGAGGTTACTGTTATATATTTGAGAATAAGTGTTATCGTGGAACGCTTAATATGCTAGATTCTGTTTATGAATGATGAATATGTGCCAATACCTGTCCCATTTTAAAAGTGAATGAAATCTATCCTAATTGTTTTGGCCTAGGAATTGATCATGAAGCTGCAGTTGCAAATGGAAGAGGAGAAAAAGGCCTTGGAAGAACAGAAAGCAAAAGAAAGACAGCAACTGGCTGAACAACAGAATATAGCAGCTGTGAAAATCCAAGCTAGATTTAGAGCATTTTTAGTTCGTAAAAAATATGCTCCCATTTTAAAACAATGGAAGTATGAAATGAGAAAGAAGCAAAAAATACTAGAGGAAATAGAGCAAGAAATGAAAGAAAGAGAGGAAAAACTGAACAGGCGAATGGAAGAAAACAGGTTAAAGAGAAAAGAGGAAAGAAAGAGGCAAGAAGAACTTGAAAGAAAACAATATTTGAAACAGGTGAGGAGGCGTGAGGAATATGAGAAAAAGAAGGAAAGCCTGAGACTGGAAAGAGAAAAACAAGTGCAAATAAGAAGAGAAGAACAAAGAAAATTAGAACAAAAGAGAGCAGAAGCTGTGATGAGTGAAAATGTAGAAAATAACATAGAAAACATAAAAAAGGATAATAAGACAGAAAATATGAAAGTAATTAGAGAAGAGAAGGAGGAACTAAATAAACAAGTAGAGGAACCAAAAGAAAAGCATGCTGAAATGATGGATGAAACAAATAATTGGATGATTCCAGCAGAAAGAAATTTGACACCAAGCGTGCTAGGCTCTGAGAAGGCACACCCTTCTCAAGTAAATAATGAAAACTTACACATTAATTCAGTAACACAAGTAGAACAAAATTACTCACAAACAAGTTATCTTGATAGAGTTTCAGATGGTTGTATTTCAAAGGATGAATCTCTTAACTTTGGTGCTAATGACATGGCAGAAAATAAGGCAAAATGTATATGCAGCAGCCCTCCAAATGTCCAACCAAATGCTAATAACAGAGAAACTAAAGATCAATTTTCTCATGGAACTATGAAGAAAACTTTATTTCTGAGGGAAAATGCTACTAAAGGAGTCAGAGACATCTGGGACAGTAATCACGATGTAGCAGATTCTCCTAGTAAAGTAATTTTTCCTGATGATATTGAGAAGAAGAGAATAAATTGGATGAACACATGCAAATCTTGGTCTAAAATATATGAAGAAAACCAAAGCAAGCAAGCAACTATAAGAAAACGACTAAGGAAAAGTTCATTTAGCAAGATGCCTCCACTAAGTACAGAAAAGATAATTCATAGTGGCCCTTGGAGTACCTTGCAACAGGTAACTATATGAAAGTTTGAGAATTAAACGGAAGACGTTCACTTTTTTTGTTATTGTCTGTTTTGGTATGTTGGCAGAATGCTGTCTATTGTTGGGCAGGCAATAGATATTTTAACTGTTCCTGTGCCCAGTGCAAAATAAGAGCAATGGCAATGACTGTTGAATTCCAGTGGTGTTGTGGAACAGACTGATATGGTATTAGTCTTCAGATGATTGATAATATTAACACTTTAAAAGGCAAGAGCTCTTACATTCTGCTAAATTAGCAAGGTTTTGCCTTTGTATAAAGGCCCACATTTCAGCTCCTGCTCCCTTTGGAGTTTTGAGAGGAGTAGTCTCTTCTAGAAACAAGATATTACTGATCAGCTTATAGATAGTGTTTTGCCATAAAGGACATCTCCTGGATGCCAGGACGTATTCTTCTTACCACTTATTAACTTATGGTATGCTTGCTCTGTGCTCTCATCTTGATATCCATTCTGAGATGGCCTACTAGCCTATACACACTTCTAGTCTGAGCAATTTTTCTCTGTTCTACACTCATTATTTATAATACTGTGACTATTGTTTTCATGCTAGCTTCTCCCATTGGACAGATCAAACCTATCATTGCCATTCTTTTCTATATGAAAAGATTACCATTAGTTGCTTGCATTAGTGGATTGTAGTTTTGTTCTCTTTTTGATCATAAAGAAAATTATCATAATATGATGTTGTGCAATGAATATTCAATATACAAGACGTTAGTTTTATTTATCAATAAATGCATGTAGGTCACAACGCTTACTCTTGAAGATTTGCCAGCTTGTAGCCTCTCGACCTTATCTGAGTGTTCAAACCTTCAAGTTTTGACGCTGAGGCGCTGTGGACTCGTTGCACTGGAAGGACTAAGTAGCTGCAAAGACCTGAAGTATATTAATGTGGAGGTACCAAGCATATTTGATTCTTTGTTATAACATGGGGAGAGCTGCCAGTTTTGTTCCTTAGTTGATTGTTCAGTTGTCCAACTGAATATGTAACTTTTAGCCTTAAGAGCATAGGAATAGCAACAAAATACTCCCAAATGTGAACGAAGTTATACGAGCAGATCTACAGTGCAAATAACAAAAAAAAGCATGCTGCAAATGATTCAACCTATACTAAGGAAATAGCAGGCTAAGATTAACATTAGTGTAGATCTTGGTTTCCTCAGTCTCTGATTGATGAGTGGACAGATGCTGTTCACCATAGAAGGTGTTCAGCTTGAGCAAGAATAGGTGGAAGGAAGAGTCCTTTGCCGCATAGACCTTGAATATTAATTAAAATTAGTAACATATATGCACAAGGAATAATCCATGTAGTGAGTTATACTAAGGGCCTAATGTTTAGGTATTTGCTACTGTGCAGTGTCTTACATGGCCCTGTTTTATGACTAAAGAGAACTTTTTCTCTGTAATGCATCTTTGTTCCAGAACTTGGCAATTTACATGAAACAGCTTTGTTCATATTTTTATTTTAATGTGTTTTAACAACACCATTTTCCAGATGAAAAGACCAAGCACAGCAAATAGTGAAAGAGAAATCTGAGGAAACATTATTAAAATGGCCTGGGGAAGGGGATTTAAAAAGCAGGATCCCTTGGAGGAAGAATCTTAGCTTAGAACAGTGTTAATGTTTGTGACTAAAGTACCTCTAAATGCAGACTTTTGCTATTAGTAAATAAGATTGCAGCAAATTGCAGCTGTCTTCATTAGCATCTAGTAAACATCATGTTTCTCTGCAGTTTGTAGCTCAGTCTCCCAGGGTTTTGGGAGGTAGGAAAATGTATATGGAAGAGACTGCTCTGTTCTTAACTTCTTCTTTATACTCTTTTTGTTTCAACTTCAGGCATTTTCAGAGCCAGAATGAAGCTCAAGATACATTCTTGTTCTATTTCAGCAGGACACAAAAGGTCATTTCTAGGACTCATCATTTTTTTTCCCAATGGAAAAATAAAGATGCCTTTACTCATAGATAAGAGTTTAGGATAAAAATAAGCAATGAAGGCAATCTGCTATATTTTACTTAGTTCTGCTACGTCACTTCAGATGCTATTTAATATTCTAATTTTCTTTTATTGCAGGAGAACAACATTCAGGTAATTGACTGTGCAAATCTGGAAAATCTCTGTATTCTCATTCTGAATAAGAACCGTCTTTCATCAGTTTGTGGCTTAGATGGATGCAAAAATCTTCAAAATCTTGAACTTTCCTACAATAGAATCACTCGAATTGGTAAGAAAATTATTCCAATTTGTATAAAAATATTTACATGGTTTATATTCAGAATTATACACCCCTTGGATTTAGAGCCAGTCAGCTGCTAAGCCCAAGGAGACAGACTTGGCAAAAAACCTGCATCTTAAAGCATGGCTTAGCTACTGCCATGTATTCCATCTAGCAGGTCATGTAACTATTGTCAGCCAAAGAGAATTAAAATCTTTCTGAAAAGGCCACTAACATTATCAGCGCTAAGTCAGCTGGAATATGAGAGCAGGCTGTGTTCAGCTTATCTACAGACATAATGAAAGCAAAGCCTAGCTAAGCAACTGCAGGGAGCTCCAGTGTGTTCCTGACTGACACAGTAAGTAGTTGTACAGAAATCATGTTGTCCATCTTGAGTCTGCTGAACAATAGGAAAATAATTTAAAACAATTATTAAGCTCATAGACTAAACAAATTCACATAAGACTTGTAAATAAGAAGTAGTTCCACTGTTAAATAACACTATGAACATGGATAATACAGTTCAGTGATAAATGGCAAGGGTGTAGCAAATAGAAAATGGGAAAGCTTAAAAAAATATTTGTAGATGTAGAGACTTTGATGAAGATATTATAAATATTTTTTGCTAATATGTATAAATGTTAGTACTCATGAAGAAAATTCTTAATACCTGAGAATAAAACTGCTGGGAAATCAGTGTTTACTGTAAAAGCATATCAGTACGAGGAACAATAAAATAAAATGGTTAAAAAGTTTCATCTGTATTTTTGTGACAAATAGTGCTTGATAAGATTCTTATTCAGATTGATCTAATTTGATAAAAATGCCTGCAAGATTCCTGTAAGAATGACATCGTTTTAGTGGATGACATTTAAGAATGTGGCATCCGTGTGGAGTGCGGTAACTTCATACAGGCCAAGCAGACTAAAATTCTCCAGTACTTTCTCTTTTGTGCAGTGCACTGCTACAATTACTGAGTCTCTAATGAATTTAAGTGGGTAAATAAATGTTCACAAAAGCCATAATCAAATGTGGGTTTTTTTCCTCTGGAATTGCTTTGAGGATTTTAGGTTAAAACAAATGCATAATACAGGATTTATTTCATATTGAGTAGTTGCACAGAATGCATAAAAATGGATTTGGGGGTTATAAAAAGTTAGCATATCACTCCCATCTGTAAATCTTGCAGGATGTCCCTTAGCAATTTTGGAAGCTCCAGTACTGTGTAGTAAAGCTTATTAACATTCGTAATATTTAAGTTTTAATTACTTATTCTAGGACATTTCTGGCATACTCTGATTTCTCTTTTTATTCTTTTCTCCCGTCATTGAAATATAACATCAGTAGGAGAAAAATTAGAGTTGCCAAATACCCCTTAAAAATAGCAGTAAGAGAAATAGTCTCAATTATGCTTTTTCCCTTACGAATACATGATCAAAAATTAAACAATTGCGACAGTAACACACCGAAGTGGAGTGCATATGTTTGTATTTTGAGGATGAATGCTTTGTTTAAAAATTTTCATGCACAAAGAAGTAGCATTTTGACTCAAATCCTCGAATATGATTCTGTAGGGTGTCTGCACTGCCATAGAGTGCTGGGTAAAATCCTGGAAGCTTGAGGAATAGCAATGCATAACCATGGTCATAAATGCTGCTTTCAATATACCCTTTTTAAGACAGCACAGAGAGGAATTTTTTTTTTTTCATCAGACACCTTTTTAGTTTTGGTTTTGTTGTTTGAGGGGTTTATTTTGGGGTGCTTCTTTCATTTTTATGTTCGCTGTCAACTTTCACTCTGTTGTTAGTTGTCTGTCACACATAGAAGTGACTTCAGAACTGCATCAATAGCTAAGAGTCCCTAGCTAGCAGACTTCAGCTGCCCTTTGCAAATTGCTGAGAACTTCCATAAAGGTTCTCCTTGAATCTTGCTGAAACCATGTATTTGTCAACAAAATGCTTTTCCTGTGGCTGCTATAACTTTTGTTTGTTGCATCGTACGTAAAACATACAATGTCTTCTGGAAATGTGACTTTCAGGCTTATATTTAATTTTGCATGTAGGCAGACGAACCAGTAAAATACCAAAGGTTTGTATTACATTATTCTCTCTTGTGTATTTTCTGTTGGACTGCATTGGATAATTCCAGAATGTTCTGAATGACATTCAGGTGAGGAATAATAAAAAAGTGCTTTGTGCAGCATGCAGAGAAGGAAACTTCCAGATTCTGTTTTACCTTCTTGCCTTTTCTTATTGTGTGTGCAGTCACTCTTCTTGGTCCCCCTCCAGGCTCATAGAGTGCTTTTAAAGTTTCCAGTACTGCTAAACATAAGGTAACTTAGGCTTAAGGTAACTTAAGCTGCTCTTAAGAGGAAGTCTTGGGAGCAAACACACGAAAACGTGAAAGTGTTTCTGAGACCACTAGATGGTGCTGGTTCCTTTTTTATTTTCATCCAAGCACGAAAGAAAAATATAGATAGGATCTTGCAGTCCGGGTATTATGTCATGGGCATGTTTGAAATTTTTCAGAATAATTAAAGATTTGTATATTTATTTGCTAAAGTACAGTTTTGAAGTTACATTATAAGACATGTGTGTTACATTTAAGATTATATCACTTTAATGTCACATAATTGTATTATTTTCACTAAATGTTTTCCATTTTTAAATTAAAATTATTGTAATGCCTATATTGGTAATTTTTTAAAAATTTACTGCTGTTTTTGTATTTAATGTTTTCTTCAGTTTTCTCCTTATTTTTAAGTCCTCTTCTGTAATCTCAGTACTCTATGGTGCAAACTGATCTCTGGTTTCATAATTTTTTATAAAATGAAATATATAATCATAAGGTTTTTTTCAGAGGACAGTCACAAAGAAATACACTATTGTGAGTCCAGCTCATTCAGATTCCTTTGGGCAACATATGAAATTTTGGGTGAGATAAAGATGAGACATAGTGTTCCCTCAAATAATCCTAAATTAACTAAATTATCTAAGAATACATGAAACAGATGTAAACTCAGAAATTCTTATTTTAGATCTGTTATGTGAAGGGTATCCCTTCAAAGGAATTTTTTACTACAGAGATACAGAAAAGTTGCTCAAACCTGTAGTGAGTTAGATGGATCAGTGCCATTGCATGTGTAAGACTATGGGAAGAGAATGGTAATTTTCTGTTGTAAGGATGATTTGGGTTACATTCTGTGAAAGAAACAAATGCTCATGGGAATCCCATTAGATTTCTTTTGTTGGTAGAGATTGCATGCTCTTTAATGTAGATGGCAGGAGTAAATTTGTTGAGAGTGGAATGGCTACAGTAGTATAGCTTTGTTCTTAAAGGCACTACATTTTCTTTATAAATTTTGTCGTTAAATTTATTTTTCCATAATTCCGTAAACAAGACTAATTTAAATAATAGTGATGAAACTGGCCTAAGTTTTCATATAATTTTTTTCTAACCTTGCTGATAAACTTAAAAAAAAAACTTTAAAAAATGAAATAATGAAAATTAACTTTTCAACATAGTGTTTTTATTCTGATGGATGATTTTAAGAAGGCTGTTAGCATTTCACAGCGTTCAGAGCAGTTGTAAAGTGGTTAAAGCATAGTAAGTATATTTTATCTCTATGAGAATGTTCTCTTCCAACAGAAGTACCAAAGTACTGTTTTTATTGCTTGATTAACAGGATCAGAGATTTGTGAACCATATTCGCTGTATATGTGATAGGGTCAAAACACTGTAATTAGTTTTAAGCCCTATACAGAAGTAATATTAATTGTTATGTCAGAGAATGCACAGAAAATTCAGAGTTTTCTTAGCACTTGAATGACAAGAGATTTTTATTTCATCGTGTCTCAAATCTTGAAATTTCAGGTGGTCTGGAGTCTCTGAAAAATCTTCAGCAATTAATTGTGGACCATAATCAGTTAATCAGCACAAAAGGTCTTTGTGAGGTACCTACTCTCATTCACCTAGACTGCTCTTTCAATCATCTTGCACAAGTTGAAGGCATTGAGAATTGTGGCCTACTTCAGGTTCTGAAGTTGCAAGGCAATAATCTCCAGGAGGTAAAAACTTTGACTTTAGTGGCTGTTGTACATACATCTTTGCTAAAAAAGTCATATTTTTAAGCATTCTGAGCATGTGCTCTTTGATTGGTGTGGGATGTTTCATGCTCTTAGGTAAGATTTTTTTCCCCCTTATCAGAGGGTGATTTTTCAAAGATACAAATGGCTAGCAGTTAATTGTTTTCTTACTCCCAAGTCCTTGAAAAATTGGACTCTCAGTGATTTTGGTTCTTCCTTCATTTATAGCATCTAGGTTTTTTTTCTAGTTATGATTCTGATTTTGTTTATAATGTAAGAAAATATTATTATTACTTACAGGCCCTGTTATAATAGTAAGATAATTATATCAGGCCAGTAATAATTATATAATTGCCATTATATATAAGTAATTGCTCCTTACTGTTACTTGTATCTAATGATAATATTATTACCACTCTGATGATAATCATGCTTATTCAATGTATGTTGATTCTCCAAAATTTGAAATTTGTGTTACAAATTTAAAATAGCAAAGTTGTTTGTTAAACTTATGCTTAATCATATTTACTAACATTTATTCTCCTATAAATTCAAGAGATGAAAAGCATTGTCAATAAGCAGCAAATAAAATAAATAATAATTAAAAAAATAAATAAACAAAAAGCATGAATAAAATAGTAAGGCTGTGACTCCTGGGCTCTTGAATTTCTTTTTCTTCTTTAATTATTTATATTGACTATTCAGGTGTGATAGAAGACATTAAAAAGTATTTATCACCTGATATCTAGAGATTATGTGTGACAATTGGTACATACATAATAAGGAAATGATACATATATCCAAAATGTCAATTTTTCTTGTATTTAGTAATGATTTATGAAAAGCATCTGGTAAGCATTCCATTGTTGTTTCTCTAATTTATGTTAGTCTTAAATAACCATCTCGTTTCTATTTAGCTTCCAAGACTGGAAAATCATGTTCTCTTAAGAGAACTATATTTGGATGACAATAGTATTTCTTCTATGAGAATGCTTTCTTCGTATTGGTTGCCTCTATTGCAGACTCTTTTGCTGTCTCAAAATAGGTAAGTAGGAAGCATTCTTTCTCTTACAGAACTGATCCAAAGGAATTTACTAACATAATACTTGTCTGAAAAGTATAATTCTCAGTATGGTTGAAATTTCACTATCTTTTTGGCATATTATTTAAAAGTAGAAATATGTGGTTGGCATGTAATTACATTGGCTACCTCTATCTAAGAAAATTTGAAACAGCATTAACTATGTAAATTAATTTGTTTCTCTTGGATATTATGTGAAAATAATTCTTGAGCATTGTGGCATTATTAAAACCATGGTGGGTTTCTTTCTTTCTTTAGCAATTGTTTCTAGAGTATGTCTGTCAAACTTCATATTTCACAGCTAGCTTATTCAAAACAGACTTTGAAGGCTAAGTTAAGGGCAAGTACTAGAGTTAGAAAGGCCAAATAAGAATGTTTTTTATTTTACATACATATGTTAATACCCTCCAAAACAAGTACATTTGCTTTAATTTTTCACTCTTATGGTTCTGTTTAAAAGGTATAAAATAAAGAAGAATCAAGACAAGCAGCATAAAACTGGATCATGCACTCAAGTACTCTGTAATTAGTTTTCTGTTTGTTTTCTAAAATAATCTATACATCTTTAGAGGTAGAATAACCAGATATCCTGGATTAAAAATCTTATTTTTCCCACTCCCCCCTTTTCTCTATTTAAATTCTGCTAAAAAAGAGATGAAACATTTATTACAGTTTACAATATGGTAATAGGAAAAATTAATTTTTTATTGCTATCCATTATTTTTCTATAATGTGATCATTTTTTTCCGAATAAGACTGATCTGAGCTTAACAATCAGAATACTGCATACCATATATGGAAATGCACTCTCAACGATTTACTTCACTCTCCTAGTAGTGAATAGATGTTTTTAAAGGGTGATTCATCTGCCATTTTTAGCTGCTTGCTTTGAGACTGATCATAGCCCAAAAGTGCCTGTTCATCTTCATTGACTAGTAAAAAAATGAGAATGACCACCTCACATGAATAGAAGAGTCCCATCCTATGTGACATTTAATTTGGCACAGCCAATTGTGTCTGGGAGCCTGTGGGAAAAAGGATGTGTAAGACTGAGTCCTGCTATTATAAGCAATGTCCTGCATGGGAATTGAATATGATTTAAGTATATACAACCTATATTTTTATATAACTTTTCAGGTTGTTTTCATAACATCTCTAATGAAGTACTATTCATGGAGACTCTTAGATGTAAATAAAATATCTACAGAATATAATCTCAAGTTTCTGATCAGGCTTCTAGGGTTTGGGATTTTTTGTTCCCTTATTAATTCTTCTAGAGTTTGGAGAAAGTGCTTCCTACCTGTGATTAAGCAAGAGCATTATATGTTAAGTGTTAGATTTTGAGTCACACTGCTTGATTTAATTCTTGTTTTTAGCTATTTTTTCTTTGTCCTCTTTAGCTTCTTTGTGGATAATGTGGCTCTATATTCTTGTAGTTTCCTCTTCTTCCTCCATTGTAGCTATCCTGTGTGTAATAAAGTGTTTACAAAACTCCTTGAACCTCTCACATGCTTGCTAGGGACTTGAGCTATCCCCAAGACCACAGTCTCAGGGATAGCTCAAATGAAGCCTCTGGATTTAGGTTGTGCTGGACTGGCTATGTAGATGTACTTACCTGTCCCATCATCTTAGAGTTTCAAAGTCCATTGTAGTACTTGCTCTGGTTTTCCAGTAGCCAAGCAGAGATGCAATGTTTGATCTGCTGGGTTTCTTTTGCTGGGCTGTGAGAAAAGACTTATTTTTGCATCAACAGACTGGATGTACTGAAAATAAGTACACATCTTGCCCCCAAACAATTCCCCTTCTTTCTGTGATGTATCTATAGCTTATGTGAAATCTTTGTGACAAACAGGACAAGATAGCCTTAAATCCATATTAAATGCCTTAAAATTCCTGGCATTTCAGTAGCCTGCTCTGTTACACTTACTTTATGTACACTTATAAGCAGCTCCATATGTGTGTGCTATAGCATAAGTAACTCGATGTCCTATAGAAACAATGAATGTAATGGAGTAAGCTGTTGAAAGAAAAGCTGTTTCTTTACTTTTATCCTACAGCCAGTGCAATTTTGTGAATTTTTTCCAAGTGTGCACTGAGTGCCATTTCCTCCTTACTGATTGCAGGAAGCCAATATAATGATAATGCTATGAATCTGTATTCTTTCTGAAAGTGAAGTACTGTGAAAAGAAAATTCTTACACTAATTTACAGGACATTTTTATTCCTGAGATGCTTTGTCTGCATCATAAACCAGAAATTATCAAAGGTAAAACTCCAAAAATTATTTGGTTTAATTTGTTTTAAACCTACAGTCTGACAAGCAACTAAAACAGGTAGTGATTAACTCCTTCAAATAGAAAAAAGCTATTTCATCACTGCTGCTTTTATTAACTTTTTTATTGTCGCTTTTATATACAAACCATATTCTTGGTCAATGCGTAATTGACCAAAGACAATGATGAATATCCTCTTGACTTGGTTTCTGCAGAGTTGGGACTATGAAGATCTGTGCTCTATTTTATAGCAGCTGAGGACACAACTGTCAAGTTAGTTTAAAAAAGGGACATATTCTTTTTTCTTCTGTTGTGGATAAGGATTTAGGTATAGGAGAAAACAGCCTTGTCCTTGTGTAAAATTAATAAATTTTTAATATGTGTTCAGAGTTCATGTGGCATTTATATTTACATGTAATCCCATTTAATTATGCAACTTACTAGTTAATGTCTTTTTCATTTAAAAGTTTTACAGTGAGATGCTAAACATGCTGTTCCGGTACCATTTTTTTCAACTTCAAAATAGACAGGATCCTTCCTAACATTTATATTTTAATGTGGTGTTAGTAAGACAAAGTTCTTTTTTCCTTGCTATTGCTTGCTTTTCACTAAGATAACCTGAGAGATAAAAATTTAATATTTACAAAAATGCAGTCATCTGCAAAAGTTCCTTTTTATTTTGGAAAAATGGTTTGGCCCAAATCAAATTTGTTGTGAACATGTTGCTCCCGTGTCTTTGCATCTAGGTGCATATTATTCCTAAAAAGCTTATATTAGAAATGCTAAAAACTTGGCTACATTCTTTCTTAGCATGCATTGTTCTCTCAAATTAAATATATATGGTATCTGTGTTTTTAACTGAACTTCTCAGATTATGAGAGTTGAACTCCTTGCAAGCCATGATGTTTTGAAAATTTGACCACTTTTCCAGAATTATCCTAACAAATCTAAATGTCATTGGATGTTGAAATAAGTCATTCATTAAAAAAGCTATACTGATATATAGTGGTTTTCTCCATCCTATCCTTACCACTCTAGATTTTTTAAAATAATTTTCAGTAATTCTTTGCTGGTGATAAGTTTATCTCTAAGTATGTGGGATCATGGATAATGTACTTGAAGTACTGTCTACTATAGTATTCAAGAAGCGAAGTGGGCTACCTGACAGATTTCCTATATTCTATATATTTGCTGCTTATAAATATGGTGATTATTGCAAACTGAACTGACTTTAATTTAAGGAATGAAAAAGCAACCTGGTCTTTGACTGAAGATCTAGATTATGATACATTTATTTTAGTTATTTTGCCCTGCTTTCTGCTAACTGCTTATTAACATCAATGCTAATTTTCCTGGGGAAATGCAGTTGCACAGGAGGATTTAGACTATCTTGAGCAGTAACTGCTATTCATGTTCAGAAACACAATCTTTATTTTCTGTGATGAATACTTGCAGCTATTCTTAAACCTTGTTTTCTGATATGGCCACATAAGCTACATAAACTCTATCTCTGACTGTTCTGCTAGCGCCTTAAATGGGAACAGAAAAAGGAAGCTATAGCTTGCTTTTTTGTGAATATCTTTTACTTTTGTGTCTTCTTTGTAATTTATATGTCTCTTATGCCCAGGGCTAATGTGACAAGGTCAAGTAGTATTAAGTTTTCAGTAATGTCCTTTGTCTTTCTGGTTTGAATTTTCTTAGGAAAAAAATTAACAAAGAATGTCGGTAAAGGGAAAGCTATAGAATGACCGAGAAATGTTTTAACTCTCATAATGCCAACGGCAGGCAAGGACAGTCCAGTAGACAATTTCTAATTCACCACAGCATATCTGATAAAGATCCAGAAAACTCATTATAAATAAAAACCCTGAGTTGTCTTTTGTCCCTTATGCATTTGTTTTCTGAATATATGAATCTATAGTCATGAAGTTTTGGTTTTTGCAGCCATACTATTAGCCAGTAATATCTATGATGATATTTGCTACAATATTAAATATACTTATGTACTATTGACTGATGATGAGAAACTAAAATGCTGAAATTTGTATTGCTATATAACAGATCTACATATAAGGCTAAGTGCTTTATAGAGTCAATACTTGTTCGTACTTGTTTGATTCCATGGAAAGCTTCCATAGCACAAAGGAAATAGAACTAAATAAGGTTAGAACCACGACGACTTCACAATGTAGTTTGAGAAAGAAATGGAAGTACAGTGGCACATACTCAGTTGTCTTTGCATCTGTTTCTCTGAATTTACTCTTAAAATGTTATGTTGTCATATAGAAATACTTCTCAACTGCATGTGGAAACTATTTTTTTTTCTGCTTTGAATTTGGTTGTATTTTCCAGGAGATTAAATAATATATAAGCAACATTTAGTTAATAATTAGTGCACCAAAGTAAAATTCAGCTCTGCCTTTCAAATGTAAAGCCTGTGCTGGACACACAACATAGTCGTACCTTTCAGCAACAAAGATACATTTTTGTCCCTCAATAATTTTGAGTACATTTCATTTTTTGTAGGGTCATATTTCTGACAAAAAGAATTCTGATTTATACCTTTCAAATAGTAGTTCCTTTCAAAGGAACTACACCCTCAGAAAATGCTATTTTCAGTTAAAACTAACAGTCAAAAACTGACCACATACAGTGCCATTTCTGTTACCATTCTCCTGTTGTACTAGGGCCTTGCCATTACAGGGATGTTACCTAAATGTGTATTTATTTAAAAAATATATAAGTGGTGTACCATGTGCTTAAACATTCTAGTTGTAGTTAATAATTGGGATTCTTTGCATCTTGATTTTTTCCCTTTTCCTCCCTCTTTCATAATCAATATAAACTAAGATAAACTTTAATCTGAAAGTTAATATTTGTCAATAGCCTGGCAGCTGGAAAAAACATTCGACATTCATTCTTGCATCAATGAAAGTTTGTAAGCAAAGAAATAACACTGAGCCTTAATCCTTTAGGAGTAGCTATAGCACACACCTTACAGCCCCAATCCCTTTGTACAGATGAATGTCAGCTCAGTTTCTTTACATTTACTCTTCAATACTGCCAACAAGAGTTCGTCCTGTTTGTAGTACTGCAGTCTGCAGCCTGCGTAGTTTTGCTGCATTATTGCTCAAGAAAAGCTCTGATAATCCAAGAAGAGCAATTCCATAACCAATTCCATAACTGTCTCAGTAATCAGCACCTATTTGACACAATCTGACAGAAGTAGTAAGATAGAGAGGAAGCACTAAAAATATATTACAGGATAGTGCATCCTTGACCTGTTGAAAAAGACATCCATGACAATGGTTATGCTAGATTTAGGATGTAGGAAGTAATGTGCTGATTGGAAGAGAGAAACAACCTGATAAGAAGTATGAGAAATAAGGAAAGAGGAAAGAAGCCAAGCAACTTTTATTTTTTCTGCTGAATTATGGTGCCTAAAGAAAAGCCAGCTGAGTCGCGTATTTTATAAATTTTATAAGACTTCAGATATTCAGCACTAAATTCGGGAAACAGAATGAAATATTTATCAGATAAAAAACTATTTATGAGAAAGTATTAAAATATGAAGTGCTGAGAAAATGAAGAAATATTTTTGGGTTAAAATTTCAGTAGTTAGTCCTCGCACCTTGGATAGATAAATGGGCATTTTCTTATATAAATAAGTAAATTATCATACCTGCAAAAGATTCTGGTGCCTTTCTGTTTATGAACTGCTGTTTAAATTTAATTTTTAAAATATCTTTTCTGGTTTGTTCTTAGATTAACTGACCTTGTGCCTTTAAATTCATTTGTATTTTTGGAAAAGCTAGATATCAAAAATAACTGCTTGTCAGGTGAGTTGTCTTAAAAAATAGAAACCCATTCTAATAATAATTTCTTAGTTGAATTATAAACTGATTTGAATGTGATTGTTCCCATGTATTTTGAAGACACATTTATGTCAAAAATATACAAATATTTTCCGAACATTAATGTTATAGATAATAATTAAAACTATACTATATAGATAGCAGTCTTGCTTTTAGGACTGCATGATGTTGGTACATTTTACTTTCATGTAAGCATTTATGGGAAATGGTTGTGCATGGTTCTCCATTCTGACATATTTCAGTTTCTTTCTACTATACTACAGATCTTAAAAATATCCATACATGGTTTTGTGGCTGCCATAAACTAAAGGAGTTGTCATTGAGTGGGAATCCTCTTCTCCAAGAAAAGAACTGGAGGTAAGAAAAATACTTTAATTTGCTAAATCAAGAAATCAAAATCAGACAACAGATTGTTTATGTATCTTAGTTAAATAGTAGAAGCACTCCCACATATAGTCTGAAGAGTCTCACTGCTGTGACAGTTCACATTGCACATAGCTGGTGAAGGGGTAGTATCTGTTAGAAGAAAAAGTCAGGATGAATGTTTGATTTTTTTCTCAGTAGTTGAAAATTAGCCTCTTTTATGCTTTTTCAAATTCCTTGTCTTTACATCAAAAATGTATAGCATTTATAATTATGGAAGAGATGTAAGAGTAATGCTGTCATTTGCCCTTCTTTATTGCCTGGAATAATGATTTGAAAAGTTAAAGAGCTAGTCCTGGAGATCATATCTCTCTATATCAAAAAATGAATAGGGTAGAAAAAAAACTTGACATACAAAATGATATGCAGTTACCCTGATTCCTGAAATGAGTAGTTACATAGTTTTGTAAACCATAGGAGTAAAATTGCAAATGAATAGGGTTTTTTTGTATAATTTGTTTGCATATTAGACGTAGTACTTGAGGTCTGGCCTCACTAGTGCCAAGTACAGGGGTATGATCACTGCCCTAGTCCTGCTGATCACACTAAAACCTAGAAAACCAAAACCACCCTTACATTTATATCTTCCATTTGACAATTATTGTACAAATTTAGGATTACTAATAAAAAGAAAAAACTCAACTATTTCAAACTTTTAGTTAGAAGTGTTTGACTAGTTTAAAAGATAGCTGGGCAAGTACATTCTTGATTGGTTTATGTGATTTTTTAAGGAACAGACTTATTTGCACCCTATGGTTCCTGCAGGTAGTTTCATTCATAAAATTCTGTGACTGTGACAGTGTTTTCAATTTCCATTTCTATTGTTTGAATTCCTACTCTTTTACAAACTAAGTGTTATTTCACTTCTAACCTAGAGGGGAAAGCTTTCTGAATTTCAATTTAGCTATGAGAACTGACACTTCAGGTTGCTTAGACCAATAGAGCTTTTATGATTAGACGAGAGATTAATTTGTCTAAAGGATTTAAAGTACGGGATACTATAAAATATGGATTTGCTGAATACAGCATTGACTGTAACTTCAGACAATATGTTCCAGTGAACTTTACATAACCCCTTGATACCAACAAAGGAATTAGTTGTAAAATTTCCCAATCGGTTTCGTACTTTCATGTCCAGCCAGCGATAACACCAACAAAAGTGAAGTAGTAAGAAATCTCTTTCTAAAAATTAAACCCTGAGATCCGTCTGAGCACTCCTAGGGGAATATGTTTCAATGCTGTAATGATTAATAGAGCCTCTTAAGTGACAGAATATTCACCAGGAAGTTTTCACTAAATGAAATATTGACTCAGCCCTCAACCAGGAGAAACTCATCTGGAAAAATGAGTGTTGAGATCCCACAGCTCAAAGAGACAGAACTTCCATCACTGATAAACTTTGATATGTCACTGTTTTGGTGTATTGCTATTCAACATCAGCTTTGACAATTTCTCTCTACGTGTTCAGGAACTGTTGCTTGAGATCCATAATTTTATTCCAAACATACTTGAGATGGCCTTAGCCTTCATTAATGGGCAGTGAAGAAAGAAAGTTTTCTGTGAAACTGATGTTCTATTCCCTTATTTGGAATATTATAACTTTGTGTGTTTTTAAACTTAGATTTTCTCTGATTTTAAACTTAGTGTATGCTGTCTGAGCTCAGTAGTAATCCTTTACCTTCACAGGGAATAGTCAGGCAGTTCCCAAATTTTGAAAACAATGCTATCTTTTTCAGTAATAGGGGGATTTACAGCCTACAATTGGTATTCTTTCAAGACTTCATGTTACTTAAAACTGAGTTAAGGAAAATATTGAGAGTTGATATAATTTTACAGTCTTCAAACTTTCAGCAACTTTGGTCTGTACAAGAAATATGTGAAACAAGATTGCAGTACCAGCTCACATCTCTTGGTAACATAAATGAAACCTCACTGATGATACATTTAAATTTATTTTTTTTTGGTTATTTAAGTTTGTTGTACGTATCTTTTGTTACATCAGTGGTCACAAGTGTCATTTTTCTAGCAAGGAAATTTCAACTTTGCACTCATTCCTTTCCCTGACCCAAATTCAGTATTTTTTTTCCCTGTCAAGCATACCAAATATCATATCAGTATATGTGGTATATGTGAATGATAAAGGGAGTAGAATTAGCAAGGTTTAGTATTTTGTGCCGTTTTAAAATTTAGGTTTTATGATGTTTCAACAAAATCAGACTGTATCTTAATCCTGTGACTTAGTTTGCCGTGTTGCCTACTAATCAAATGAATTACAGGTGCCTATGCATGAATGTGTCAAATTTTTCCATTAAGGTTTGTGTAGGTAAAATTCTCGCTCTAATGATTTGAGACTGGTGCCATTGTCTTTCTTGATGTCAGCATTTCATCAGTGTTCATTATGCTAATGAAGTATTAAGAAGTCTTGCTGTGTTCTGTGCTTTATTCTTTAGTTTAAATAGAAATTCTTAGTTAATATGTTAGCATATGAAATAAGGACAAGTACATGCAAACGTTTAGAAGACTATCTTCATGTTCTGTATTTTTATATGATTTTTATCAATAAAATGTGTGTTTTAGCATAATAATTTTTTTTTAATCTAATTAATCTTTTTTTCCTAAGGTCTTCCATGTTGAACGTCCTTCCTAGTTTACAGTTGCTTGATGGTGAAATCTTAACCCATCATAATTTACTCACAACTGAAAAAATCAAAGCATCTGAATTGGGAACTTTTCTGGAACTATGTCAAGTTCAAATTGAAGAAAATATTCAACTGAAAAAAAAGGCTGCTGAATTGGAGTACGTATTTATGTGAATATAAATTGCATTCAGAAATTTTTTTTTATGTATTGTTACTGAAGTTCTTGTTGGTGTATGGATTTTGCTTAGGGTTTTTTGCCTGGAAATGTATTAGGATAAGAAAGAGATTAGAATCAGTGACTTCAGAGCAAAGTTTGTTTTAGACAGATATTAAATTAGGAGGGTCTTGAGTTTTGTTTCTTTAAGTTTGAGAAAACAGGTGTCTCAAAACCTGCAGTTAGTAGTAGTTGAATGAATTCATACACACAGCATAGTTCAGTGCTATGCAGGAATTGTAGCTTAAATCCTGAAAGCTGGATAATCATATTAACATGATTTCCAACTTTAACTTAATCAAGTCTAATTTGGCTGTTGGTACAATATGCTCTATTTTTATTTCTGCATTTGTTTTCCATGTGTATGTAATTCACATTCTAAATAATTGCAAAAGATTTGACTGATTTGACTAATTCACTACCTTTTCTCTTAAAGTAGTGAATTAGATGGATCTGTTTACAGATGTTTAATTTTGTCATACCTGTTACCTTTACCACTATTACCATGGTTAGTTGTCCAGTAACATCAGTTTAGACCATGCAGATGGTAATTTATCACTTACACATGCTATGTTTTCATTTTTTGTAATATTTAAATATCTCAAACTTCTCATTTCTGTACTTTGTAATATTGCATGTTTTTTTCTTTCATAGTTCCTTTTAATTTCCTAGAAGGTTCACTAAATCATTATAGTGCTTTTAATATCCAACTTATGTTTTAATTTTTGGAAAAGTAGTTTTCTTCATTCTGTCAGGTACTGAACATTGGCCCAGAGCAGATGAAGCACATGCTGTTTTACAATGTTTTAGTTTAAACTTTGCCTTGCATACTTTGGTTGTTCAGGAAAAGTATGCACTTTTTTTTTTTTTAAGAATCTGGCTATTTTGTGTTTGCATGTAAGTCTATATATCCATGGTATCTTGTTACTAGCTAGCAGTTTATTACATTGTTGTATTATTGCTTAGTGAAAGCTGCAATAAAATCTTCATAGCTCAGAATCAGATTAAGTTGAAAAGAGGTTTGTATTAAGAATTAAATTGAAATTAGTTCAGAGAAGTTATATAGTGCATTTTTCTATGACAGATGTAAAATGTGTAAGTGGCTCCTAAAAGTCATATGTTTCTCCATTAAACCATCAAGATGTGTCTTCTCCACTTCTGTGATTTTTGGCTTCTGGTTTGCAGGTGGGAAGCTGATATTTCCTAATCTATTTACCATCCTGAAAAAGTGTTCTCTCCTTCCTTTTTCATAAAAGAAAATAAAGGGCTCCTTTTCTATGATTGAGAAAATTTTTCCATGTCTGATATTTAGACATTTCATCATTATCCTTTTGTAGAAAAAAAAGGCAGTTTATAATTAGGATATGGCTTGTGAGCAAACTGTAGTAATCTAAGGACCTAGACCTAACTTTCATATACATTTCTGCAGGATGGTACAAAATGAGAGGGAAAGATGATATTCCTAAAATTTAATTTAATTTTTTTTAGTCTACACGAATGGACATAAGAAAAATAAGAAACTTGTTGGGTCATCATACTCAGACCATTCATTAATTATGAACAGTATGAGGCTCATGCTACTTTCTGGAAGGTGACTTGTACTTCTGACGTCTTTTATCAAAGGCTGGGAGCAGGAGATGGAGTGCACACTTACTGTGCTTGCACACCACAAGTCTTCAAAGGCAACTGTTGAGGGGAGGGCTACCAGTCAGACACAGGCAAGATGGGAAGACAGGTCACCAGGAACCTTGTAAATTCAACAAGGACAAGTGCACAGTTCTTTACCGAGGAAGGAGGTAAAGAAAAGAGGCCTTCTGCCCACTCCCAGGCTACTTGCTGAGTGGAAGAGAGAAGGCCTTGTCTCTGTCCAAGCACTGTTCAGCAAAACGTTTTTGTATTATTGTTTTAGCAATACAGCTTTGGTCAAACAAATCTAAACAACAGCATTATATGGGCAGCTGCAATGGGAATTAATTCATTCCAGCCAGAGACAGTACAACTGGACGTGAGGAAAAGCCTTTTCAGGGTGGGACAGTGATGAATTGCAACAGGCTGCCCAGAGTGGTTGTACAGTCTTGTTCTTGGAGATTTCAAAGACCTGGCTGGATGAAAAACCTGAGCAGCCTGGTCTGCTTTGAGAGCTAATCCAGCTTTGAAGTAGAAGGTTGAAACAGAGACCTGAACCTGAGGTTCCTTCAATTGAGAATTTTTCTTATTTTATGTAAATTTTGCAAGAGAAGAGTTTGAAAGAGCCTGCAGATGTTTGAGAAGAACAGTAGTGGAAAGAGGTGATTATGTAAACATCTCTTCTTTCCTGAGTATATGGTTTTGGTGGGGGGAGGGCGGGGAGTGCAGAGGGAGAGTTGTGGATTTTTTAAGCTTTTGAGAATTCATTTGTGATCCTTTAAATGACTAAATGTGACATGATTGAAACATTTTGTATCAAATTTGGTCTTAAAATTAATTTCTTGTGTGTTAAAGCCATCTATCTTTTATTTTGACTGAAGTAAAATTTATGGATGACTTGAAAACCATTGCAAACTGCAGTTCATAAAAGGAACTCTAAACAACTTGTTTGTATGTAAGCCTTAGTGGCATAGCTATTATATGTACATATTGCAGTACTTTGACTGAATTAATGTTGCTAAACAACAGGCCAGCAATAGAGCAAACTTCTGTCTGTTTCACATCTTGCTAAGTTACGAGCCCCTGTAGGTGCGACCTCAAGTATGTAAGCTGCCAGAAGTAATCACTGCTTGCTTCCCTAATCTGTTTCATACACCAATGCTGCCCAGTTAAATTCTCTGTGCTGTTTCTTCCCAAAACTTCTCTGTTGTTGCCATGCTTAAGAATAAAACTGACTTTAAATTTTAATTTCTCTATTACACTAAATGTTTTCTGTCACATAACCTTTAGATGACTTGTAAAAAGTAATCGTGTACAAAAATATGATACCTCTGCTGCAGCAATTTGTTTTCAGCCATCAGATGTGCAGTTGTCTGGCTAGTGGAACTTGAACTTTATAAATACTGTATATATTTTACAGTGAAAATGACAGGAATTTCATAAATGGTGTTGCAAGGAGAGGCTATGTCAACAGTGACCTGTTTCATGTTTGTAAGGGACTTTGGTAAACTTAAATTGAACTTTGGTTCAACTTAAAGTTGAACATCAGTAATGATGCTTGTAGAAGTTTCCCTGAAAACTTTAGATTTTACCTCACACTATTGCAAACAAAAGCTCACATAAATTGAGGTGTACTGTTTGAATATTCCATGTATTATAATTCTGAAAGTCACAGTAGGGGAAAATATGATATTAAGCAAGGTTTTAACTAGCACACACTAGCATACGAAGGGGTAGAATATAAAGGACCAGGAGAAAACTGCCATTCCTGATGAGAACTGGCTTCTTTTTTCCAAGCCTGTCCTTTTTGCCTCTAAGAGATTTGTTCTGCTGACTTTTCCACACTTACTGTCTCGTTCTGACAAAATTATGCTCTTTGAATAACCAGGCAGCCATTGCGGGTATGATTGCAGTAGAAAATTCTAAAAAAAATGTGTTAGCTCTACAAGCAAGCCTCTGCCACCACTTTAAATTTCATAACTAGCAACATTTTGGCTGATTTAAACTCCACTGGAAGGCCTTTAGCATAAATAATTTGTCCTTTTCTGTACCTGTTAAATCAGCCTGTGCATGAATCTTTACGCATCCTAGGTGCAACCAGTGGGGTTTATTCCTTCCCTTCTCTACTCCTCCATTGCCAGACACTGCATGGGAATTGAGCAGGTTTGACACACGATCCCTGGTGACCACAAAATCATTCCCTGCCTGAATTTTTACTTCCTCAATCCTTCCATTTCTTCTTGACATATTCATAGCCACTGAAAGGATGAAACAGCTGCTTGAATACCCCTGCACCTGTCAAAGGGGAGGATTCACTGTTAGAATGGTTTGTTTTTCTTTCTTTCTGTTTTTGGTTTTTTGGTTTTTTTTACAATTAACAAGGACACTCAGGATTAAGATTTTCATAGGAATTTCTTTTCGCTCAATATATAAAACATTATGGGGTTATCTGCAATATTTAAATTTTCATAAACAAATAAACCAACAAAATAAGGAAAGGAAAGGAAAGGAAAGGAAAGGAAAGGAAAGGAAAGGAAAGGAAAGGAAAGGAAAGGAAAGGAAAGGAAAGGAAAGGAAGGATTTTTCTGATTTTTTCCTTTTTTTTTTTTATTCTTCCTAACATATTATTTTATGTGGAAATTTGGTAAGGATCGTGTACCAGACTTTTTTTTTTTTTTAAATACTTTAACTAATTCAATATATTTAACTAAAGAACTTAATTAATGCTTTAACTATTTTCTTTTAAAGTAATCATTATCCTTACTATGTAGCATGTTAGATCCTTAAACAAATTTATAGATTAGTTTAAATATTTTTAGGACTTGTATGTGTGGAATTAACAGGGGTAGGAGTAATATTTTAAAGTGGACAATCAAATTTACACAGTGAGTTGTGTGCTTAAGCTGTGTGGACCAATTTACCCATTCAGATTTTGTCCAATAGCACTGAAGTTGCACTAGCAGTGGAAGAGTTGGAATCCTTTTCACTCTTATAGGGTCTAATGGTTTATGTTCTTAAAAATCTAAAATGTTCACTGAGGATATAGTTTTAATGGTAGAGTCCCCAGAACTTTCTAAAAATCTAAAATGTTCTTAGTTGAACTTCACTGAGGATATAGTTTTAATGGTAGAGTCCCCAGAACTTTATAGAAATTTCACCTTTCCAGAATGATGAACAGGAAGGAAATTTCTGTTATTCTAACTATAATTTTAGGACCTAATTTTTCCAGACTAACAAGAAAATTGATCTTATTTCTACTTTTTCTCTTGGATTGCTGACCTAGAATTGACTTCATACTCCTCTGAAATTAACACCCTAATACAGATCTCTGCATCTATCTATACTATTAAAGGAAAATGTTTTCATGATCCCGGAACTACCTGCTACCTAGTAAAATGAACAAACACCATGCAAAGTACAGACAGCCATCTGAATCTCTAACAATTCGTTCATATTCACTCTTACTTGTCCTCATCATTTAGACAGTGTAACACAAAGAACTAATGAGTGCCAGACTTCTTAGATTGCTGTTGCTTCAGTCTAGCACTTTCCCTTATATTGATAAAAAGATCTGTACTTAGAAATTTGTCTTCCTGAATTTTCTTAAAGACAAAGACATTGTAGTTCATTGGTTTGAAACTAAGTTTGGGTTTTGTTGCTTTAGTTCTTATTTAAATTTTAAAATTATTGTTATTTTGATACGAGCTTTCATAGTTGCCAGATAAGATTGGATTGTTAAGGCAAATCTTGCCTCATATCTTCCAAAAATTTGGGCTTCACATGCCACTAACCACACAGAAAGTTAATAGTGAAATGCATGGTGTAATGGCTATTTTAAAAAAACTGAACACTTTCTCTTTTAGTTTGAAAATATAAACATACTGAAATAGTTTATTCTTTTTATTGATACTTTGGACTTTGAAGGCTCCTGTCATATGATGAAATTAATGCTCACATAATAATCACTACACAAATGTTTTATACTATTACAATCTCTATGAGCTAATGTGAGCAGTGACTTGAAGCTCCATTAGCCAAAATTTGTAAGTTTGAGGTGATGCTAGTGAGCAGCTAAAATATCATGCAGCACAGGACCACCTAAAATTCCCCAACTTTAGTTTGGTTTGCTTGCTTACCTCCTGGAGGGTCTACTTTGGCATCACTTTCTGAAGTTAAATGAGACTTCATTTCTAAGGGAACTTTATCTAGGCAGTCTTCTAAAATACAGATGCAAGAATAAATGATTTGTCACACAAAATAGCCATCAGCTAGTTTCACTTCAGAATCATCCTCTGGTAAGTAGGTAATTCAGAGTAAAATAAGAAATATGTGTGATTATAGTTTAAATATATCCAAAAAAAGCTAAAATTTGTTCGAATTCATAATTACTGAAACTGGATTTCCAATTGCAGTAATTGCTATTTGCTGTAAGGTTATGGAAATGTAAGTACACTTGAAAATACAAGCTATTTTAAAAATAGTAGAGGGAATTTTTTTAAAGCATTCTAACATATATGTAATTTATTTTTTTTTTTCAGAATTACCTCTTCTATTGATTCTGTAGTGGGACAATGCTGGTATTTTAATCAGTTGATGAAACTTAGTATTAAACATCGATATGTACATGAGTATGGTGAGCTAAACATTACTGACAGAGATGGACCAGAAGCACTTCAAAATCATTTAAAGCAAACAACCACTGGCTGCCTGCAGGAAAATAACCTCTTTATCATGGGTGTGACAGAAAATAAACATGTCTTGTTGGATCCTTCCAAAAGATGGATTACTACTGGCGATATTCAGGCCACATTCATTAACTCCTCCATACCTGTGCATCAGAAGGAAAATAGAGGAGATCAGAGAGTGAAGCAGAAGAGCACTGAATCTTGTATTAATTACAGTGGGGAGAGCAAAGGCAACAATAACATGTCAGGCCAACTCACATTGCAACAGTCAGTGATAGTAACAAGTGACATGGGAAGAAATCTCCAGCACTTTGAGAATGACACAGAGAGGTAAGAGAGGTGTCAGATTACTTTCAAATCGATTCTGTAGATAGACACTAGGAGTGAGGATTTTTTGTTTAAAACAGAGGCACAGAACTAAAATAATATTTTTAGCTTATTAGACAATAAAGAGTTATATTCAGGTGTTGCACACTAGGCTTCCATATTAATAATTAGCAATCCTTTGTGGTATGTCACATTTGGTATATTAGGATATAGATATTTACATACTTCAAATAACGTTAAGATCAGTTCAATGACACATACAGAGTTAGGAATGCAAATGACAAATGTTTTGCAGAAACTTTGGAGGAAATTAACTAGAAATTAATGTAAGGATATTTGCCAAAATTATTCATCAGACATTAAAGATTAATCTGTGTAAACTTTACAGTCAGTGCCATTTAGAAGGCAAGAAGAAAAAAATGCTTAAATCTACCATCCTAATCCCTTGATTTTGGCCAGTCTTCTGCTGTTGTGATGACTGAAGAGCTAATGGCCTGCCCTGCTTTTGGTACTTCTCCAACATGCTTTAACCTGCTTGTTAAAAGTAGAGGCAGGGATGAGAGGCCAGTTCAACTTGTTATGTGTCCCTAGATTTTCTCCTGCATGAAACAGACTGGTTTGTTACCTCTTTGGAATGTGTTTGCTGCTGATTTGTGTAGTTCTGGATGTACAGATAAGGGAAACAGAAGCTGATGTTTTTGCAGCAAATCTTCAAGAATTGAATTAAAATTTCTTAAGAATTCTGTTTCAAAAACAGATGTCTTGAGAACAGTATGAAAACCAAGCATGGTGGGTGTGCTTCTTTGAGATGTTTAGGCTTATGGTAAATAGGAAACTGCTTAGTAGGTATTTAAGGCACTAATAATTTGTCATAAAATTTATGATTAAGGAAGACCATGCAATTCATTATCCCCTCTCAGCAAGCTGAAAGCAAGAATACATTAGTCTATTGCATGAGATGAATACTTCAAAAAAATTTTTAAAAATAATTAATTTAGTTTTTTGATAATGTTTTGAATGAATTCTGGAAGTGTTTTTTGGAGAGTCCTCTTCAAAACAGAATGCAAACCATTTTTGTGTTTGTCTTGACCTCTGAAGCATGATTTTTTTTTTCTGACTAATAGTCCTCTATTTAAATAGATGCACTGCACAAGGAAAGGAATTATGTAAAGATTGGAAATTTAGATGTCTTTTCTTTAATGCACTATCCAATTGAAATTAGTATTTTAAGAAAACAATTCCAAGATAGTAAAGATATAAAGTCATAATGCATAGCTGACATTATACTTTTTCTCCATTAGTATTAATTAGTTGAACATATATTTAGAAATTGGAATCACTGAACAGGTCTAAATGGTCTGTACTTAGTTCTTGTTAAAAATGAGCAAATTAGAAAATTTACGCAAATAACCGGTGGTCAGAAGTCTTAATGGGTAAAAGCAGGCAGAAGATGAAATTGCACTTTCTCTGTTTTTCCTGTCTGCTCCATTGAAAATACCTGTGTCATTCAGTTTTCAGTATTTATCCCACTTTCATGCTTGGTGTTTGTTTTCTGTGGGTTTTTGTTTTGTTTGGTTGTTTTGGTTTGGTTTGGTTTTTGGGTTTTTTTTGTTTGTTTTTTTTTTTAATTTGGTTTTGGGGGGCTTTGGGTTTGGTTTTATTTTGGGGTTTTTTTTGGGTTTTGGGGGGTTTTTTTTTTTTTTTTTCTTTTCTTTATTTTTTTTTTCTTTGGTATGGTCAGTGGAAATAAAGGGACCCCTCCAGGTGTTTATTCAGTCATTGTTACACCAATTTTGCTCCTAATCCTCCCTTTGAGGACTCTTCCTCTACTGTGATTATTCATGAGGACTCTTCCTCTACTGTGATTATTCATGGAATAGAGCTCAGTGGAAATTAGTTCTTAGATAACTGGATTCAGAAGTTCTGTGATGTGAATATCCTCCAGTGAACACATATATCACATCTGGATTGTAATTTCTTGTTTAGTAGCACTTTTCATTTGTCTCAAAGAACAGTGCTATGTTTTATGGTTGAAGTTTGGCAGATATGGTAATCCAGTTGTATTGGTGAGGCTATGTGAATCATAAATGTATTCATTTCTCCTCGAGACTACATATGGAACCATCCTCAATCCAGTCCTTTTGGTGGCAGCACCATGCTCAGAGGAAAAATGACTGCAATAAAACAGAGAATCATCAGTTTGCAGAAGCTTTGAGACAGAAACATGAAGCTGCCACAGTAATCCAGGTTGGTTTGTGGTATTTTCTTATTTTGTAAGTTTAATAACAAAAAGAAGTCTTTCTAGATTTGTGTAAATGTCATCTTCTATCTGTTTTTCCTTATTATCTTATTAAGTTTTATAATTAAACATTTTGTTTTATTTAAGCAGCATACCCTTGGTGTTTCTAAAACAGATGCTTCTTTATGAAAAGCTTTATAGAAACATATTTTCCCTTTATAGAAAAATATTTTCCCTTTTTTCACCAAGTATTTACAGGAATTATTTTTATTTGATGTAATGCTAATATGCTTAAGAGATACTGTGCCCATGTTCTTACTGGGGCCTGTGTATGCTATGAAACTGATGGATGCTGTGTAACTCATGTTGTGTCTGTTATCTATATGACTAAATAATCTTCCTGTCTCTTCTATCGTACCAATCCATTTCTTTCCTTCTCTTCCCATCTCCAAAACCCAGGATTGCTTTATCTGTATTGTCCTTGGGAACAGACCATGGCCTAGGTGTCCTATGGTAGATACTGAGCTAATAACGGTTAAACTGAATGGGTTACGACAGGCAAGGGTTGAAGTCCACACCTTGACTCTGTTTAGCTTGGTAACCAGTATTTGCTTGCCAAGTTGACAAGGTTCATGGGGTTATTTCCTACATTTTGAAACAAGTCAACTCCGTCGATTTCATATTTCAAGCTAACTTGGAAACATTCCATAAAGTCTTATATACAAATTTCAAAAGTGACAAAGTGATTTAGAAGCAAAAATTTGTTATTGGACTATAATGTATAGCTAGCATATTAACAACTGATTTCCATAAACTTACTTAATCCATTTTTGAACTTGCTTATGTATCTGACCTCTACTATATATTATAGTGGTGCATTTGACAAATCTATATAATGATTAGCATGTGCTTCCTTTCATTTGTTTCAAACATGGTAATTCCAAAGAGAGTGTGAAAATAAAAGTGATCTATTATCTTCCGTGCATATTACAGATTCTTAGATCTGTCATACGTGCATCCTTATATCCACCTTTTGTAAATAAAATTTTAGTCTGTTTAGTCTCTTTGCACATTTCTCTGTAATTCTCTTTATTTTTTTGCTCCTGTCTGAACCTTTGCCATGATCTGTTACAATCTTTTTAAAGAAGCAACAAGAACTGAATTCCATAGGCAGATACAGAATGAATTTGTACCGTAAGAAAGTTTTTATTTTGTTTCTTAAAAACTACTGGATGTAATTTTTCTCTTTGATCATGGCTGAACACTGACCTGGTGCTTTCATAGATCTCTGTTAGCAGCTACTTCACAATTTCGCTTTCTGCATATATAATTAATATTGCTTTTCTCCTTTGAATCTGTAAAAGATAATTACCTTTGTTGAATGAAATATGTTTGTCATTTGATCACTCAGTAATATCAGGACATTTTATCTAAATGCTTATAAAGGTCTGTAGAAAAATAACAACAATGAAATTATAAGAAAGGAGTTCTAAAACTTTCAATAATTTTATAATTATCAGGAAATATGTGTGTAAAATAGTAACATTTTCAGTAATTTATGGGGTTAGACTTTTTCTAAAAATTAATAATCTAAATGTTAAACCAGATTAGGGGATTTACCCTTCTTATTTTAGTGCCTTCATTAGCTAGAGCCATTAAAGGTGTACAACAACACTTCTTTTATGACAGTGAGAATATTTTGCATGGTCTTTTAAACACTTGGGGCATCTTGAATTCAAATGATGTCACATACTGATTTGGGGGGAAGTTGCCATCTTGTATACAGTTTTCTTAATTCTTAATCTATCTCATTGTGATCTCTGAAGTGTTTTTGCTGGACACGGTTCTATGCTTGGCATGTGGTCCTAACACCCTTCCTAGTTTTCTAGCACTTTAATTCCTGATGTGGTTTTTTTTCTTAGAGATGATTATGCTTGCTGGTAATATTTTATTTAAGTAATATTTCAATATTTTATTTATTGGTAATATGATAATATTTTATATATTAAAGATCTTAGACAGTTAAGAGAGAGTAACTGACCTAGGTCAATTACATGAGATGTCTCCAAGAATTGCTACTTGTAAACCATAGGACATTTAGTACATCTGTATTTTTTTTCTCTTAATTTGACTGTTGGCACTCAGGTTTTTCTTGTGTAGGGTTTCCTTTCAGCTTTTAATAGTCCCTGAAGGAATTGCCTTATAATTAATTGGTTGACCCAGGTTTGTAGTTGAGGGAGTTGCAGGATTCCTTTCTGCTTACTTGGGGAGAGCCTCTTGAGTACTCTAAGCTTTAGACAGATGCTGGCATTTAATTTGTCTTGTAGTTTTAAATGTCACATAAAGTTCAAAAAACAGATCATTGAGCTATTAAACAAAGGCCCAAGATGTTTTATCTTCCTAATGGGATAACATAGAGAATCTGGGTTTGGGTTTGATCTATGGCTATGCATAACATGCTTTAAATTTTTTGTTTAGGCATCTTGGAAGGGTTTTCTTTTGCGAAAGAAACTGGCCAGTGCTCTTGCAGATGTTAAAAGTGATGAATTGGAAGATGAATATGAAGAAATTAATGTGGATGCTTTCACGTTTTCTGAAGTAAGCACAGTAATTAGTATAAAGTCTTCACTATTCTTAAGCATTCATGTAGGTGTTGGAAATAAAAAAATGGAAAGCACTACCAAGGCTGGAATTAACACATTGGATGTCCAGAAATAAAGAAGCATTTCTTATTTATAGCTGATTTAAATTTATTTGTCTTGGACTAACTGCTTCCTGCTCTTTGAGATGCTCTGGTACTGACTCTGCTATTAATGTCACACCCACTGTAGAATGCCTTATATTTTTTACAGCTGAAAGGCAATCAAATGAGAATAAGGAAACAGTTTCCTTTGTTCCAAAATGCATATCTTTTTAGTACTTCAGTAACAAATTATAATTTCAGTAATATTTTAATGTGTATTTTGTTCATTTTCATGATAGAATGAGATCAATTTAGAAAATAACTGCAACACTGAATGTCAGCTATATTCCAGTAAAAAGAGCATGTCCCCAAAGCAAAAGGTGAAGCAGGCTTATTGTCTTATGTGTAGTGTGCTAAAAAGATCAGAGGTTTAAATACAGTAATAAATTATGAAGAGACATATGGTTAAATCAGAAAAAATAAAAACAAACCTCACACTTAGAAGCTCTGTTATGCCAAATTACCAGAAATTATTACTAGTTATTTTTACAAGTTATATAGAGTTAGAAATGCTCTTTCAATTTCAGAAGGATTGAAATTGGATGAGAAGTTTCCATTCTAAAAAATAAAAGTGGGCTCCAGAGGAATTTGAGGAATAGCATAACATTCAAAACTGAATTTAGCTATACTTAGGTAAAAAATAAAAAATATCTATGGGATCAATATTGCCATTCACTAAACTAGAAAAATAATTTTTAAAGAAGTATTTTATTTATAGCCTCAAAAGACAATCTATATGGGAAGTTCTAGACATAGTATTCATATTATTTAGTAAGGAACTGTTGATGAGTCACCTGTGTACTAGTCTGGAGAACTGCTGTCTCTAATTGTTCACATTCATTGGTTGCCTTTTTTTTTAATGGTTTCAGGTAAAGCAAAGAAAACTAACAGCAATGTGGCCTTTTGAGACCTAAGAGGATATAACTAAGATTTTTTTCATGAACCCTTGTCTCTGAATGTGCTTATTCAGGTGCTGTGTCTTCACAAGAGCCATTTATCAATATTCCATTGTAATGTTGCAGAGGAGATTGATGCAGTAGCCCTGCTAGTGGCAGGACTAGGTCCCATTTATAATTAGATGTTTGTCTCGATCATGGAGTTATGAAACCAAGTATGCTGTTGGTTGGTGCAGTGCAATTTACACTTGATCAGTCTTTGGTCATCTGATACCAGGCTTCTTTTACCAACTCCTCCCCATAGAAAATAGCTGGGCTTTCTATGAAATTATTGCCAATGAGTTGATGACTTAGGGTATTTTTTTTTCTCCTTTTTAGCAAATATTTTAAGGTACATTTTCAGAATTGCTGCTTTATTTAAGAGCATGCAAAAGGTTTGAGGCAGAAGTTCCATTTGGTAGACAGGAAACCTGTGTGTGTAAACATAGAGATCTGGCTTAAATTTTAGGATTTTTTTATTTTAATTTGAAATACATATACAAAACGGTTTCATTAGTTGATGTTCTCTGATCCCTGGCTTCTTTCTAAAATAATAAAAAGCAGAACATTGAAGGTTTTATTTCTTCACACAGGAAGGAAGTATCTGTTCGTATATTACGGAAGGAAAATATCCTGTTTTGAATTACTCAGCCAGTAGGCCAGAATTTTACACACAGTAATTCAGTTGAGCCATTCTTGTTTCTCTCTGTCTGGCCCAAATAGCCCTGTCATGTTTGGTTTTGGGGTTTTTTAATTGCTTTACTGAAAACTACACAGACAACTCCATCTTTCTGTCAGCAAGACAATTGCATTTGGGCAGGTGTTCCTGAGGCCAGGGAGAAAAGGAAGGGATGGAGAAGGCAAGAGAAAGAAGCCCAGCTGATTTCAGAGCGATTTGTACTGTATCACCCTCTGCTGTTGCCACAAATTTGTTTATTTTTTTTTTCCCCCCAAATTATTATTGAGTTTATTAGTAATGAAATAAAACACAGATTTAGGGAGAAATTCTTAGGAAGTGTTTACATTGAAATGATGACAGATGAACCACAAGCTGACATTTTAATTTGCACAGCAGGCTCAAAGGCTGAACTGTGGACTGATGTCAAATAAGTTACTCAAGCCCTTAGCTTCTTGTGATGAAAAATATAACAACATCTGTTTTCTACAGAGCAGTGTATATGATAAATTTACAGTGTATATGTCTTTGAAGGATATATCTTTTTTTGGTGAGTGAATATTTCAATGTTCAACATTAATGAATTATACCCTGCAATATTTATCTTTTTTTTTTCTTTTTTTTTTCCAAATGTATATGTTGTCTGTGCTGAAAATTGATTTTAGAATTGTGTGGCATAACTATACTAGGCATGTAGTATAGGCATCATCTCTGCCTAGCCCAGACTAGTTACTCAGTACTAGGCTGTCTGTTTCCATGTGTCTGCAGTTGTTTCATTCTCTGCAGCTGGGTGATACCAAATCATATGGACTTCCTACTTCTGGAGAAACAAGGAGCAGAAACTTGGAACAGTCTATACTTCCTATTCCTTCCTTTCTGGTCTCAGTGTTTTATAGCAAACTGCTGAAGCAGAGCCAAGGAATGACACATGGTATCAGTGGCTATCTGTTGTGTCTCAAACAAGTGTGTGGGGAGGAGTACATATTGCTGGGCTAAGAGATCCCATATGCTAGGGTTTGAAGGAAGAGAAAAATATTTGGATACCATTTTGTACTGCAGATTTCAGTGTTGTGTTTTATAGGGTGAGTGAAATGAGAGAGAAGGGCAGAAAAACCTTTCCTTATTGGAAACTGATACAAATGTCTTAAATTTTGTCTAAAAGCTTTTTGAATAGTTCACTATTTTGTGTTGTGGTGGTTTAGGTTTTTCTTATAGTGTTATGTAGGTTTCAGTCATTATGGTTTTATTTGGTGTTATCAAACATTCTACAAAATCACTACGGTGCAAGCACCTTTCTAAACCATTGGTAAATATCACAGTGCAATAAGTCATTAGGCATCAGTCTTCACAAAAAAAAAAAGTTTAATATCTTTCTTATAAACTCAGTGTACCCAGTGTTCCATGGAAAGTGAGGCTGTGAAACAGCATGGGGGAAACCCTAGTCTTTGACAAAGATCTTGATTTATGCCCATTGAACAATAGTAAATTTTTACTACAAGTTAAACACCTTATCACAGGAAATATGTATTGCATGTGATTGGGTAGAGGAAAGGGTTTTATCTTTCTAAAAATTGTGTGAATAGTGGTTATTTCACCTGAACCATTGCTTGAACCTTTTTGTATTCATATCAACTCCCATACATTGCCAAAGCCATTCAGAGGCAATTGATGGCAGTAGTGTTTTGTGTCTGTTTGATTGCGGTATGTCAAACAGGCTATCCCAGATGACATGAATGATCTGGCCAGCAGATGTTTTACAAAGTATGAGCTTGGTATTTAGTGATATCTTCACGTCTTTTATGTGGACTTTGGAGAATTCCAGCCTACATGCTCCAGAAGGCTGATCTTAAGGCAACCTTTCATCAGCAGGCCATCCTTGTAGCAAACGATCTACAAGGCAGAGCTCACTTTACCTCTGGTGGATGAAATCTGACAGCACATTTGCTTGACACAGCTCTTACTTCTGTATCATCTAAATATTGTTGTTTTCTTGATGTAAATATGATACGAGCCAAATGCAAAATATCTAAACTTGCCAAGGTGTCAGAAAGCTGAATAAATTAAATGTGATGAGTTTTCAGACAGTTCTTTACCCTGAGCAATGACCACTGAATAAATTAACATTTTCTACACTGAACAAACATATGGACACATTCTCATCACGAGAAATATCAATATTGATGATTACATGGCACACAGAGTAAGTACTCTATTTTAAAAACTTCATTTTTAATTTAATTTAAATTATTTTAGTCATACTTTTTCAAAAATAGTCGCTTTGTAAGTTGCAACCAAGTTAAAAATAAATCCATTATTGCTTTGCTCATCAAAGGAGATAGCACTTTTGCCCTGAGAAAGTGTTGTTCTTTTTCTGAGCTTGATTATGTAGATTTTTTGAATTCCAGCCTTTTTGACAGCTTTTGAAATTATTGTTCAGGAGTTTCCTTATCTTTTTTTTTTGTATATCCACACTCAGACACATAGCCATTCCTAATCTTTTCTTGCCTTTCACAGCAGGTCGGTAGCAGTTTTATTTTTCTTTCTTCTCATTTTTTGTTTTCTGAGGGGTGGGAAGAATAAGAACTAGCTCATGTGTGCTAACTCTTAATAAGTAAACAGTAATTAGAAAAAAAACTTTCCTCATGTCTCCCATCTTTAATTTTCTTATCACATGTCCAAACTAGACCCATATGATGTGTTTTGTTTGCTTTTCTGATAATCCTTCATAATGTGGTTTGTCTCAGACTGGGAGCTCACGATTGTGAGCTTGTGACGGTGATAGCTGTTTTCTGGCTAGGGCCAGGAAATAAGTGTAGCCCATGGATTAGAGGGCCCCCATAACATTTCTTGTATCTTGACACTCTTATGTATGTCTAGCTCCTGTAACTGCTTATGACTGTCAGATCAGCATCCAACTTTTCTGTATTGTATGCTGCAAAGACTATGATCCATTTTTCATCAAATTTCATGTAAAGTTACAGTGCTGTATAAAAGCAGAAAAGTGTCTGTTGAAAACCTCATTAGAACCATACCCTTCTTTTTATAAAGAGGAAAAAACTCTCTCCTAAGCAATATATTGGATGATCAGTCTTTTTTCCATGAGTGTTTATCAATAATCTCTTGCTATGTTCCTGTTGCTTTGGCTGATGTGTTAGTAGGTTGCAGGCTATTCACAGTCTGTGGCATCTGCAGATGCATCGAACTTCTACCTTTTTCAGCAGTGCTGCTCATCTCATTTTCTAGT